GGCTTTAAATTCCTTCATCACAGCTCTAAAAGAGGCCCCGCCAGCCTCTTTTCTTACGTCAAAATCTTTCCATACTAGATTATCCTGAACACATGAAATGAAGAATAAAATTTAATATCAAATGTACCACATGGGATAAAACTGTTTGATAACCAAACTCAAAGGTTGGATTTGTATACAGTATTTGATGGTGCAATCCAGGAGGACATGAATTTACTAAGGAAGAATCCTGAGAAATCAAGGATAGATCTGCCATATTATAATGAATGAAAGTTTCATGATAACATTAACATTATTGCCGACCACAGAATGCTGCAGAATACAAAATAGAAAACCAAGGATGGAGCTCATTCACGTAGAAACTTGACCTCCATACATGGTCCCAGTACTTGATTGTGCGATTTTTTGTTTAGAGGAGGTCTGATACTCCATAACGAAGAATTCAAGAATGAAGAAACAACCAAACAACACCTTTAAGTTCAAGATCTAAGGCAAGCAGCGTTTTTGTCTGGGCTTAAAAGCATTAAATTAAACCTGCATTTCAGTTAAGAATTTTACAAGTGAAATTTCATGCCAGAAACCTTTCCTGACATTAAAAATATTTTCTACAATGATGACATCAAATTGAAGTACAACTAGTAATGAAGCCAGGTGTATAGCAAAGATAAGATTCAGGGAAGTATGCCAGTCACATGCAGTGGTGATTGTTTTCCTTCTTATTTTTTATCCTATCAAACGACAATAAAAATCTGTTTAAAGAGAAGCAAGATCAATGGTTGAAAACACATTCTACAATTCGACATAACAGACCTGAATATATATGTTGAAAATGCGCCTTCCAAGACTCCTCCAGGATGGAGGATTTTGAATTTCTGTCTCTCCAAACTGGAGGGTCACAGTGTAATTACCATTCTCCAGGCCCAAGCCATAGTATCTAAGTGATCCAGCAGAAATCCGTGCACTCTGGAACAGCTCCAGGTCCCTTGTATTTGGGAAAAAGGGAACAACGTTCGTTATATATCGTGGATTGTTGCTTCCAGAAGGCAGACCAACATTACTAACTGCCCATCTGCGTTCCCTGGTCACATAATATGTTGCTGGACCAACAGTCTCATAACTATTGTCTGCCTCGTACACAATCCCCGTAGCAGAACTCATTTGTGGACCGCCACAATTAATTGCAAAGCTGGAATCTGCAAACCATCCCCAAGAGTAATTTGTGAATTGTCAATACAAAAAATAACAAATAGCAGATACTGAAATAATTTTCTGACAATAATCACGTTGGTAAAATGACTGCACATATAGTTGCAGAGCGAAACTATAAAATGAAGATTAGAAGATTTACAAAATTAATGTGGCTTTAATATTCAGCCTTCAAGTTTATATACGGTAACGGGTTAATTTCACAAACGGTCACTAAACTTAGGCGAAAATTACAAAACCGTCACTGAAATTTAAAACTTTTAGTAACGGTCGGGACACTTTAAAAGGGTCACTGGAATTTAAAAACTTGTAGAAACGGTCACTGAAATTTAAAAACACTTTTTTAGTTTTTTGGACTACTTTTGCGATAACTTTTCAGCGACTCCCGACCACCGATACCGTAGAATTTTGATACAACTGGAAAGCTCATAATGTCCTCTTCAATTAACACCAAAACTTTCTAGCAACTCTAAGGGATTCGACAGGAAAATCACCGCAAAAGTTGCCCAAATATCTGAAAATCTGCCTAGATTTTCAGATTTTTGGGGTGATTTCCCAGCGACTTCCGACCACCCACACGCCGGAATTTGATGCCATTGGAAAGCTTACAATGTCCTTTTCGGTTAACACCAAAAATCTCCCCAAAAATCCAAAGGATTCGCCCGGAATAAACCCACAAAGTTGGCTATCCGAAAAGGCAAAAATTTGGACAGATTTTTTAAATTTTTGGTTGACTTTTGCAGCAACTTTTCGGCAACATCTGACTACAAAGACCGTCGGATTTTGATACCATTGGAAAGCCCACAATCTCCTCTTCAATTACTATCCAAAATCTCCCCATAACTCTAAAGGATTCATCTGGAATAAACCCACAAAATCAGCATCTTGAATCTGGACAGATTTTTACCTTTTTGGGTAACTGAATTTGTGGATTTATTCCAACCGAATCCCTTGGACTTTGGGTTAGATTTTGAAAGGCAATTGAAGATGATATTGTGGGCTTTCCAACGGTATCAAAATTCGACGGTCTTGGTGGTCGGAAGTTGCCAGAAAATCGCCACAAAAGTCGCCCAAAAAATCTGAAAATCTGCCCGTCACACAAAAAATCTGAAAATCTAGGAAGATTTTCAGATTTTTTGGGCTACTTTTACTACAATTTTCGATCGAATCCCTTGAAATTATGGGGAGATTTTGGATAGTAATTGAAGAAGACATTGTGGACTTTCTAATGACATCAAAATTCTACGGCATTGGTGGTCGGAAGTGGCCGAAAAGTTGCCAAAAAAACTGAAAAAGTGTTTTTAAACTCCGGTGACCATTTCTGAAAGTTTTTAAACTTTAGTGACCGTTTTTGCAAGTTTTTAAATTTCACGACCGTTTTTGAAAGTGCCCCGAAACTTAAGTGACTGTTATTGAAATTTTTAAAGTTCAGTGACTGTTTTGTAATTTTCACCTAAGTTTAGTGACCGTTTGTGAAATTAACCCATACGGTAACATATAAAATAGACGGGATAATTTAGAATCATTCAAGGATTTGTAAATTTCAACTTGGATTCTCAACAATAACCACACTAAACTTGTATCAGTCAACAAAATGTCCAAGCGAGCCTAGGCAATAAGCCTTCTCCAGAGCGTAGGACAGTAGTTGACAAAGCAGTCCCCAGGGCGTTGCTTTATAGCAAAGGAAAAAATTAAATGATAAAGAAATAATTACCACCTATTATTGTTAACAGACTCCCTTCTCTCTATTCTACATTTTTCTCTATTTCACCATTCATTTATATTTTTGTATATTTTGTATCTTTCTTGGTAGATTCATATTTGTATGCCTAGGTTTCAACTGTATTTTATAACCTTGAAAAGAGTACAAAAATATCTAAGAAAGTAGCAAATCACGTAGGCTCCCCAGAAAGCAACCATCACAACTACGGATATAGTAAACATGTTCAAATCCTGTATGTAGATTTCAAAGACTTCACATTTTGATTCCTTCTTATTTTTTTCCTACTCCAGGTCATAGCAAATCATTGCTGTCCTTTGTGACAATTCCATACCTACACTTTTAAATAAATGTAAACCGTGTGGTTCAAGCCCAACTAAGTACTGCTGTATCCATATGGAGTGTATTTTATTCACATTCACACATTCAACATAGTGCATTTATTTTTCGAAATTATGATATTACAGTTGTCTCTATCACATCTCAAAGTTAAAAATCGGGAAATTATTCTGGCCATTCACACAAGTCAGAATTAGCATTTTGTACACATTCCAGTGTGAGAAAGAGAAACTGCATTTACAATTAGATTTTTGACCTTTTGGTAGCACAATAATGTATTGAAAGAAAGTATATCACTCACACTGGGGGTCTCCTCGATTGCAAGAGAAATTTCTTTGAAGACAATTCAATCCTGAACTGAAATTGAAAAAAGAATCTATAGCTAATTAGGAAAGGTATCATGTCAACTGCTTTGACATAGTGTATTATGGCACTCAGAGCATGAAGCAATCTCATTCATGAGTGGATTTGAATATAAACATAATTTATTCCATAGTGGATTGACATATTGACTTATGTACTCTTTTGTGGGCATGGTTATAAACTAATGTACATTCTTCACCAGTGGGAAATGTTAATAAGATGTCCTTGATTATTCTGTGATTAGGATAGTAATGAACAGAATAATAATTAATAAGATATTACAACTTAGAAACATCCATACAAGAAGCTACAGAACATTTTCTAGTTTTGATGTATTCAAATGAATATAAATTAAAAATTTGGAAGCCTAATGTACTGATCAAGAGTGTATGGTTTCAGATATGTACCTGCTGTTTTGCAAGACAAAGTTGTTGGCGACCAAATTACTGCAGAGAAATTTTTATTAATTTTGGGGTATGCCAGCCTTTAGATACGAGACAATATCCCAAAGAAAAGAAGACGAGAGTTCTGAACTATAACATATAAATCATGCTACTTTCTAATTTGAAATTGTTCATACAGTTGCATATTTTCCTGGCTTGCCCAAGAAGGGAGGTTCCCGGATAATTCGTTGTATGACAAATCTCTGCAAGCAAATAAGATATAGATGTTAAGAGTAGGATACTTGATAGAATTATTGAACACTAAGAGGAAGAAAAGACACTTTTTGATAGAAAATATTCAGCACTCTTCAAGTAATACACGGCTGGAACCATAGTATTTAACAAAAGAAATTCTAGCCAACTTTTAGTCAACAACTTCTACCTACTGCACCTTACTTCTTTGACAGCATACCAGACCCTTATTACAAGACCATACTTGACAGATTTTTCATTACATAAAGGCCATAACTTAGACTAGAAATAGGTACTACAAAAATACTAGACTTTGGACCACAAAAATGTCAATTTAATATCAATACTCCTTCTTGAAACTTTTGCCGGAAACACCAAGGCATTTCCTTAATGTTTCAAACCTTCATTTAGACAAAGATTTTGTTAGGATATCAGCATATTGGTCTTCTGAATTGCAATGCACCAACTTCACATCCTGCCTTTCTTGTGCTTCCCTAATTGAGTGATACTTGATCTTGATGTGTTTTGTTCTTCCATGAAACACCGGGTTCTTTACCATTGCAACGGCTGACTGGTTATCACAATAAATGACAGTTGCATCAGATTGCTTGTGATTAAGATCTTCCAATACTTTCCTCAACCAAATTGCTTGATTTGTAGCTTCTGATGCAGCTATGTACTCTGCCTCTGCTGTCGATTGAGCCACTATTTTTTGCTTCATTGAGTTCCAACACACAACACTTGAACCAGCATAAAATACTTAACCAGAGGTACTCTTCATATCATCAATAGATCCGACCCAATCACTATCAGTAAAGCCGGTTAAAATCAGATTTTCTGACTTCTTATACCAGATTCCCAGCTCTACATTTTCTTTTATGTATCTTAGCACCCTTTTTGCAGCTTGAAAATGGATTTCACTTGGCTCTTGTCTAAATCTAGAGAGTATATTCGCAACATATGTAACATCAGGCCTTGTGATGGTTAGATATAACAAACGTCCAACCAAACTTCTATAGATTTTTTCATCAGATTTCTGGGCTCCATCTTCCTTTATCAACGTTGAATTTTGCACCAAAGGAGTGCTAACTGATTTACAATTCTCCATACTGAATTTCTTCAATACTTCCATAGCATACCTCTTTTGGTAAACAAAAATCCCTTCTTGTGTTTGATCAATCTCCATGCCAAGAAAATATTGCATCTTCCCCAGATCAGTCATGTCAATGCCTTCTTCAATTCTTCTTTCACAACTCCAATTAATGTTTGATTACTAGCTGTTATCAAGAGATCATCAACGTACAGGGAAATAATGATCATTTCTTCCTCCACTTGCTTTACATAAAGTGTTTGCTCATTCATACTTTTGATGAAACCGAGGCTCCCTAAGTGATCATCAATCCTGCTACACCAGGCCCTTGGAGCCTGTTTTAAACCGTACAAGGCTTTCTTCAATAAATACACCTTGCCTTCATTTCCTTCCACCAAGAAACCTTTAGGTTGCTTAATGAAAATTTCTTCATTTAGGTAGCCATTTAGGAAGGCCGACTTCACATCCAACTGGTGTATTTTCCATCCTCTTTGAGCAGTAATAGCAAACAGCAATCTTATGGTTTGATATCTGGCAATTGGAGCAAATGTATCAGAAAAATCAACTCTATATTGTTGAGCATAGCCTTTCACAACCAATCTGGCTTTGAGTTTGTTAATTGAACCATCAGGATTTAATTTAGTTTTGAACACCCATTTAACTCCAATCACATTTTTATCCTTTGGTCTATCAACCAGCACCCAAGTTTCATTCTTTTCAATTATATTCAGCTCCTCCTTTATTGCAGCCATCTACCCTTTTGAATTTGCAGCTTCATGGTAGTTCGAAGGCTACAACACAGCTGAATTGCAACTAGCATAAATATCAGCAAGTGATCTGGTTTTTAACACGGCATTTTCTGAATCTGAACCACTATCAAATTCTACTCCTTCTTCGTTAATGATAGCATCATTTTCTTGTGGAACCAACCTTTGTATTTGCAACTTATTCAAGGTACTTGTTTCCCAATTCCATAAAGAGTCTTCATCAACTTTGATATCCTTGCTGGATATCATTTTTCTAGCTTGCGGATTGTAGACTCTATAGCCTTTAGCATTGCCACAATATCCAATCAAAACACCAATCTCTGCCTTTTGACTCAGCTTATCCCTCTTTGCATCAGGTATGTGAGTATAACAAATGCTTCCAAACACTTTTAGATGAGCAACATCAGGCTCGACTCCATACAGGCTTCAAAAGGGGTTTTCTTGTCCAATGCTTTTGTAGGTAGTCTGTTGAGAAGGTATATAGCTGTATTTATAGCTTCGGCCCAAAAATCATTTGGAACATTCTTCTCAATCATTAAACACCTAGCCATCTCCATTACCGTCCTATTCTTCCTCTCACACACTCCATTTTGTTGAGGAGAATATGGAATGGTCAGCTGATGTTTAATCTCCATAGCATCACAAAATTTATCAAACTGATCACATTTGTATGCAGTCCCATTGTCTGTTTTGATGGCCTTAATCTTGCAATCACTTTCATTTTCCACCGGATTGTCAAACCTTTGAAATACAACTGCTACCTCTGATTTGGATTTTAAGAAATAAACCCAACACATCCTTGTCAAGTCATCAATAAATAGCACAACATATCTGCTACCATTTAAAGTGGTTGTTCTCATTGGACCACAAACATCTAAATGAATTAGTTCCAGCTTCTTTGAAGCTCTTTTGGACTGATTTTTAGGGAATGACATTCTTGTTTGCTTTCCACGTTGACAAACACCACATACATAGGTTTCATCACATATGTCAGGCATATTTTCAACAAGCTCTAGTTTGTGCAAATGCTCGAATGAAGTGTAATTTGCATGACCAAATCGTTTGTGCCAAAGTGAGGACTCCACAACAATACTAGAATAAGCATGACTGATCACATTTTTCCATTCTAAAGGAAAACTTCTTTGCTTCATCTCAATTGACATTAACTCATGGTTATTTGAATCTAATATAGTGCAACCATTGCCTTTAAAAATCAATGTATAATTCTTCTCAATCAATTGGCCTACACTAATTAAATTCTGGTCTATATCCGGCACATAGAGAACATCAGTAATAAGCTTAGTACCTGATGGAGTTTGCATTGAAATCACACCAATTCCTTCCACTTTCACATACTCTCCATTGCCAACCTTTACTTTTGATTTGTATGTGCTATTTAATTCAACAAAGATGCTAGAGTTTGAAATCATGTGATGAGTACGTCCACTGTCCAGCAACCAACTTCCAACATTGCTACACATTTTATAATTTTCAGTTGTGAACAGATGCTCCTCCCATTGTTGTTGCTGATTTTCAGCAACTTGTGCTTATTGTTGTGTTTGTTTCTCTTTCCAGCTTTTATAAACCTTTTGAAAATGCCCAAATTGCTTACAAGATCTGCATTGAACCCCTGGTCTATACCAACACCATTTTGGAGAATGACCAGATTTTTTGCAGTGAGGACAGGGAGGATAACTTCCACTTTTGCCAGCACTTTTGTTGATATCAGCCTTCTTCTTTTCATCTTGTTGTTTCTTCACTCCAAAGCTTGTTTGAGGTTTATGTTTTACTTTGATAAATAAAGCTCCTTCTACTTATTCTTCTTGTCTAATCAGCCTCCTCTGCTCAGTAGCTCGGAGTGCATTGACAAGCTTAGACAATGTTATGGTAGACAAGTCTCAAGAGTCTTCAAAAGATGAGATTTTTGCCTCAAAATTTTCAGGTAAACAGATCAATACTTTTTCCACAACTCTCTTGTCAGGTAGATCATCTCCCAACAACCTTATTTGATTTACAACTTTCATCAGCCTATCAGAAAATTCTTTCACATTTTTTGATTCTTTCATCTTCAAGGTCTCATACTCCCTTTTAAGGTTTAAAACTTGCATCTGCCTTGCTCTTCCATTGCCTCGGAACTCCTCTTTTAATCTATCCCAGGCCTCCTTTACAGTCTCACAAGTAATAATTCTGGTGAAGATTGCAGACACGACAGATTGAATGCAAGAAAGAGCCTTGAATTTTTTTGCAACCTCCTCACTATGTTGCTTCAGTTGAGCAATAGTAGGATTTGCTCTAAAAGGTGGTGGTTCATTACCTGTTTCAGTGATTTCCCATGGTCATAAGCCTTCAAATGAGCTTTCATTTTTGCAGCCCAAACATCATAATTTTCTCCTTTGAATACAGAAGGTATTGGAGCTAAAAAACCACTTGAAGCCATCACTCAAACTAACAAAATCACTCGGCTGGTTTTGATGAAAGGAAGCTGGCTGATTTTCTCTCAAGAACTTGTCTCACAGTTTTTTTAGCTTCTTCAAAGATCAGGTGGCTCTGATACCATTGATAGAATTATTGAACACTAAGAGGAAGAAAAGACACACTTTTTGATAGAAAATATTCACCACTCTTCAAGTCATACACGGCTAGAACCATAGTATTTAACAAAAGAAAATCTAGCCAACTTTTAGTCAACAACTTCTGTCTACTGCACCTTACTTCTTTGACAGCATACCAGACCCTTATTACAAGACCATATTTGACAGATTTTTCATTACATAAAGGCCATAACTTAGACTAGAAATAAGTACTACAAAAATACTAGACTTTTGACCACAGAAGTGTCAATTTAATATCAATAATACTATTCCACATGTCAAATAGCATTCTATTCTACAGGCCACTTTACAATTGTGTTAAAACACAGATCAATTTCCTCATAGAATTACAAAATAAAAGTACTACTGTAGTTTATCCCATTATAATATTTTTTAAGCTTAAACGCTTAATGCGCAAACACACGTAGCCATTTAAATGATTTTTCATTTACTAATTATATTATACAAACTCAAGCTCTTTGAGGGGGTACAATTCACAAACACCATAAAAAAGCATTAGTACAGATTAAAACAGTCAATCAAACGAATAACTTCTTAAATGATGTGTAAAACAAGATATTTTGTTCATAATTTTCGAGCAAGACAAAATTTCTCTATTGTGTTGTAATGGGTTCACAAAAATTTTAATCGAATGTCTTTCTCCAGGAACTCAAGATTATTACTTCACATATAGCATGATTAACGCCTTTCCCCACATAATTTTTGTGCATTAAGACTATAACTAAGCAATCCAATGCCTTGCATGTATGACTGTACATAAAATTAAAACATTGATTAGCGGTTGTATCATCTAAATCAGGCTCGAGATACTTAAAAAGATTGAAAGTCGTAGTATTTGTATTCCATCCTTGGGGCTGTGCAAACAAAAGAACCTTGACTGAAGCCTTAATAAACAGCATTTAACATTTGAAAAGCAGCAAAATGTGTTACATCACTCACATATTCTCGAGATATCTTGTCTTTTGGGCTGGCAGGACACCAGTCAACCTGTTATTTCCAAGAAACCTGAACACGTAGAAAGGTATTACCTAAAAAGATATTCTTCTTTTTGCTTTTTTGTTATTTTTTTCATGTTGGGTGGCAGATATTATGAGCTCTCAACCATAAGAAAGAATAACATAATTTATTACAAGTGAGTGAGTGATGTCAGATCGAACAGTGAATCTGGAATCCATCCACTGAAATTGTTGAAGCTCAAGTCCCTGAAATATGAGATAAAAGATTTTGTTAATTGTTGTCTCAATGTTTGTCTAACGGACTTGAGATCAATTGGTTGTTTTTACACTTGGAACAACAATTCTGTTTGGACTAAACTGGATAGAGCAATGGTGAATGATTTTTGGATGCATATGGATTTTTCTAGTATTGCGGAATTCTTACCATCAGGATGCCTATCTGATCACTCACCTTGTATTGTTTCTATTTTTACATTTGATGAGGTCAAGAAGAAACCGTTTAAATTCTTCAATATGTGGACTAAGCATGAGAAGTTCCACGAAACCGTGCTAAGCACTTGGAATCTATATATTCAGGGCACTAAGCAATTCTCTCTTTGCAAGAAGTTGCAACGTCTCAAAGGAGTACTTAAAGAGTTAAATGTTAAACACTTTGGTCATATTTCATCAAGGGCTGAGGTAGCAAAAAAGGGCTTGGTGGAATCCCAGCTTGTCCTGCATGATGATCCCAACAATTTACATCTACAAAATGAGGTTGCTCGATTGAGGAAAGAGGCCATAAATCTTAGTGAAGC